CATCTTCCGCACCTGCCTGTGCCTGCCTTCGGTCAGCACGACCCGCAGCTGCTCGCCGTTCAGCCAGCCGGCGGTCGCGCGATGGAGTGGCACGCCGTCGATGGCCATCCCGTGGGCGAGGAGGCGCGTCGTCCGCTCGCGCCGCCGCTCGTCCCACGCCTCGTGGCCCTTTACGCGGACCAGGTACTCCTTCTCCACCCCGCTGTCGGCGGACATCACGCGCCGCGCCATGTCGGCGTCGTCCGTCCAGAGCATGAGCCCCGTGGTGTCGGCGTCGAGGCGTCCGATGCACACCAGCCCAGGCACGCTTCGCGGGTGGTCGGCGGAGCGCGGCGGGGCGCCCAACCGTGCGTTCGTCACCCAAGGCGCCGCGACCGCGTTGTTCTTCTGCACGAGGAGATCAACCGCAAACTTCTTATTGCCGCGCGGAGCAGTGGACGGCGAAAGAAAGGAGAAGGGCTTGTGCTGCGCGAGGAGCAGCGATGTGGCACGTCGCATCGCGCCGGCAGCGTGGGCCTGCGCAGCGTCGCCCCTGTCGGCAGACGCAAGCCTATCTCACAGCACAAACAACACGACAGCGGATAGTCGAAGAGAAGAATGTCGCAGGAGAATCCGAGCCTGGCTTTTATTCACAAAGGGACGACCGCGAGGTGGCATGAAGGTTGCAGCGAGAATCGGCGAGAGACTGCGAAGAGAGATAGGAAGAGGCAGACTCCCTAGGGTGGGCGACGGCTAGCGCACCACACACCTCTCCTTAAAATCCCTGTGTGGTGGCGGCGTGCCGTCCTCCCATCCCTCCCTTGGGTTGTCTGTTTTCTTTCTTTCTTTCTTTTTTTTATTCACAAAAACACAACCCCGGACCCAAGATGCACACCTAAAACATGCCGCGAGGAGGGCGGAGTTACGCAGAGAGGCGAGAGCAAGGGATCGGCAGACGGCAGCGGCGTTTCAGAACGAGGCCGAGGAGAGCGATGAGTCAGAGGATGAATGAAACAGCAGGAGAGCGAGAACGAGGATGATACACTGGGAAGAACGCGTGGCATGAAGGTCGCTGCGAGAATTGGTGAGAAACTGCGAAGAGAGATAGGAAGTGGTAGACGCCCGAGGGTGGGCGACGGCTGGCTAGCACCACACTTCTCCCCTTGAAATCCCTGTGTGGTGGCGGCGTGCCGTCCTCCCATCCCTCCCTGGGCTGTCCGTTTTCTTTCTTTCTTTTTTCTTCTTCACCTTCGATTCAATACTCATAACAACGACTTCACAGGTTCACTAGTGCTCCAAGCCGCAAGCGAAAACTCTAGTGTCT